CAGCTCCCCTCATACACCACATTTCCTGGGGTGAGGAACTGGCGCATTCAGCTTCCTGGTCTTCCATCCCAGGTATCGTACTGCACCATAGGCTATGTTCCCCCTAAACACGGGTGGACCACACTGCCACACCTTTGTCCTGTCTCCAGCTGCCTTCCCAGGTGCTCCTGTAGGCCTGTTGCTGCAGCAGCCCAGTGGCCCTTTGAGCTTAGTACCCTAGAGACAGCTGTGCTTTGGTGAGATCTTCTCAGCTAAATAGTCTTAGGCCATAAAGTGTCTCACTTCTGAAACCTGGGGCTGGGAAGGACAGAATACTGTGTCTCCCCTGGGGAGACTGTCTCCTCCTCTGTTCTGAGTTACTGTCTTGCTAGCTTTATTCGTGGCCTTAAGCCGCTGACTCATCTCTGGGCTCCTGAGCCACCTTCCTGGGAGGGGCTTGTCAGGGAGTCCTGGCACAGCCCGCCCGCAGTCCCCAAGGCTGAGCACACTTCATATCCCCAGCTCTCAAAGTCGCAGGAGGCCCAGGAGTAGGGGATGAGATGAGGGTGAGTTGGATGGCTGAAGCCGCCCATCCCAGAGCTTCCCACCAACCAAGGCCCTGTCACCATCTGGGCAAAGGGCAGATTCCTAGTGCTGGGTTGGGGGAATCTGCAACCTCCCAGACAAACAGGAGGAGTGAGCAGATAGAGTAATGCTTCTGCATACCCAAGAGAGGAGCCCACCTGCCTCGTCGTGGATCTGCAGAGGCAGGAGGAAAATGCCCCACTCTGTCACACACTCTTTCCATGTCACGTCTTCACTTCCTTCTTCATGCTCTCTAAACACCCAGAATTTTTTATGCAAAGTGATACTACCTTAGACCAGTGATACTGAACCTTTGAGAGAACGAGTTCCCAAACTGCTGCTGAAAACCTACTTATTTATCACCAAGTGCCAACACTCCAGTGAAACCTGAATGTCTGACGCTCGGCTGCTGAGGCAGCTTGGCTCCCGTGCCGACGGAGTCCTGTGTGTCGCTGTACGCACAGGCCGTAGGTTAGTCATCACTGGCCTAGACCTTGGGTATAATCTAAACTTGGTCTGGTAAACTGGTTACAGGTAAATTAAGGCTTTTATCTGTAATTCTGCCCTTTGCTTTCAGGGTCTTTAAGTGAATGTTTTTGAATTAATGCTTTTAAGGCAGTCTGCGCGTGCTGTACAGCCACTCTTAGGGTCTGATATATATAACCAGCTTTGCAGGTGATGACACTTTGTGATATATTTCAACATCTTTTGTCTCCTGACAAGTATTTTCTAGTATGATTCAGAACTTCGGTAATTAACTTTATAACTTTTTTACAATTGACTGCAAGATGAGTTCCTCTCCCAGAACCCTTGTTAACTTTCAGGATTGTCCACAGGGAGAGGAACTCACTTGCAGGGCTATTCCTCCAAAATGCCATCTCCAGGCTTCTAAAAATGCGAGGGTATGGATATGCACATTCCCACCTACGGTTTGTGTGTGAACGTGCGTGGACACCTTTGCATGTGAGTGTGGCGTTGTACCAGTGTGTGCGTGTGTGTGTCAAAAGCCATAGCAAGCAGAAGATCCCTTCGGATGGCAGGCGAGGCATCTCTGCTGGGCGTGTCTCTAGCGGGTGCTTGGGCACCGGGCACAAAGGAATGGACACTGAGCAGGCCATCCCCAGAAGCCGACCAGGGCTCCTCATCCACCGGTGCTCTGGCTTGCACTCAGCATCAGGAGTTCTGGCTAAATTGTTCACTGTGCTCCTCCACTGGCTTCTGATGAAGACATCAGTGCACTCATTTTCTGGGAGGCTGCAAAGGGAACTGTGTGAGTCCTCAGGGCTCCTACCTTCCCAACACCATCCCAGGCCTGGTGTGAGACCATGCCAGCCCCACAGGAAGCTGCTGCTTGAAGTTTAGAGGTCAGGGCCTGGGGAAGTTTTGTTTTTTATGTTTTACTCCCAGAGAGAATGACACTGATTGCTGCTTTATTATGGACTAAAGGACTAGAAATTCTTTAGTACCAAAAATAACATTTTTTCCTCCATCAGTTTTCACTGTATTCAGTAATATCCACAGCTGTCTGAGCTGCTGTCTAGGGGAAGGGGAAGTTTCCAAGGGCTTCTTGCAACAAACCACCGAGCGGCAGTGACTGGAACAGGAGTGCATCCTCTTGGAGGGCTGGCTCCCTCTGAAGGGCCGGAGGGAGTCTGTGCTGGGCCTCTCTCCAGCGTCTGGTGTCTCCCACAGTCCTGAATGTGTCCTGGCTTGTAGCTGTGGCTTTCCCTTTCCTCTGTGTCTCATGGTACTCTCCTGTGTGTCCCTGTCCAAAGTCCCTCTTTGTCTGAGGGCACCAATCACTGGATTACAAGCTACCCTAATCTAATAGGACCCCTGTTAACTGGATCCCATCTGCAAAGTTTCTGTTTCCACATTAGGTCATGTTCCCAGATAGCAGAGGTTACAATGCAGACAGATCTCTTAAGGACACATTTCAGCCCATAGGGGGAACGAACCTTGGTGTGGATTACAGGGGAAATTTGAAAGAATCTGGGAGTGCAGTCTTGATTTACAGTCTGCAGGGGCTAATGTTGAAAATGGTGCCTAGCTAAATACCAGTGGCCCTGGGAATAAATGGATTTTGTCTAATAAAAGAAGATTCCTTGCTCAGGACAAAAGACAACACGACATATTCACATGACTTGGTACCAGTAAGCATAGTGCCTGATTTGTGTTCATCAGCATCTAAATAAGCAATAGTATGCCAACCTTGTCTGCCTTGAGGTAGAATTGTAGGTTAAACACACACATAGAAAGTTAGCTTTTGCAAGGTGGTTGATGTGGGGTGGGTCACACACATTGTACCCTTGAAGCTATAGAGTGCGTTGTCACATTGCTCACAATGACTCCAAGGGGCACGGAGCCCTGGGCTGAAAGGTCTCATCCTCTTCCCTGGTGGCAGTCACAGGCCCCAGGCCTGTCCCTGCACGAGTGAGCCGCCCCGTGTGGAGGAGGGTGGCACATCCCGAGTGCTGTGCCGTGTTTCTCTTCTGGTGCACATAGCGCTGGTACACGCACTGAACACTGCAGAGCTGAATGCACGTGGGCTCACAATTTAGTCAAGGCAGTTTGCACTGTAAGTGTCACACCTGGGGTTTAAGGGCCATGTGCTACTCTCCAGCCCCACAGAGAACAGCTCACCAAGATGGGCTGGAGTCCAGTAAAGGAGTCCAGGAAGAGAGCACCAGAGGTGGGGGAGCTTCTCAGACAGAACACACCCACCAGAAGAGAACCTTGGAGCAGAGCTGGGGAGGAGCACCCAGTGGTCCTTTCAGACTTGCCCCTCACAATTTCCATTTCACAATAGCAGCTCTGTGTGCCAGGCATGTTCTAAGTGCTGTGAAAATACTGACTTTATTCATCCTTACTACAGCCATGCAAAGCAATGTTAGCATTGCCTTCATTCTATAAATAGGTAGACTGAGGCACAGAGCAGCTAAGTGGCATGCCCAAAGTCCACAGCCACTAGAGAACAAACTGAACGTGCACTCTGGGCTGACTGCAGAGCTTACTGTCTCGGTACATTTGACTTCCCCCTCTCTAAAAGGAAAAACGTAAAACTGAGGACATTTTTAGTCCTGTACTAGAGATGTTTAAGAAATGAAAGGTTGGAAAACAGTGGTATAAAATAATTGCAGAGGCCAGATTAAGAAGCTGAGGAAGCCATGGCATAGAGAAGCAGCTCCTCTGCAGCTCGGGACAGCCACACAGCAGCCTGGAGGTGTTCAGCTGCATCTGGAAAAGGTTCCAGCTTGACTTGTCTGTACCTGGGCATTATGAGGAGTTAACAGGCATTAGTGCAGCCCTGGTTATAATTGAAAACCATATTCAAGCAAGCTGAATGGTCACCAGAGAAGCCTGGTGGGGTCCTCACAGTGACCAGAACACTGGAGCCCATGTAGACGTGGGCCGGGGAGACAGCTCTGTGCTGATAGGAAGTTGTCCCCAGGATTGCTTCTTCCATGCCAGAGGCAGGAGGCAAAGCAGCATCCACAGTGTGAGGCCATTTGTGTGAAGAAACAGAAAGGAGGGGAAAGACACCCTTGCTGGCTGTGCACAGGCTGGGTGCAGGGAACCCAGAAGGAGCTGGAGAGGCTGATGTCCTGGAAGGGAAAGTGTTCAGCCCGGAAGCTCAAGGGGGAACAGGATGTGGTGGCTACACCCCTGCCAGACTGTGCTGAATTTGATGTTATGTGCAAGTATGACATAATACAATAATCAAGTAAAATTGATTCCGCAAATGTAAGGAAATGGAACTATTTCTGCTCTATATACTCCTGATTAAACTATGCATTGGAAATTTTAAACCCAAAAATAAAACTCAGACTCGTGACCATCTGAGTCCCAGACATCAGCAGATGGAAGCCCCAGAGGAGAGGCATAAAAAGTTGCTTTGAGGGGACAGATTCCCAAAGGCACACAGGGCACACAGCCAGGGTACAGCCCCAGCAGCAGGCTGTTCCCCCAACTCATAGGAACTCGGACACCCCTGGAAGTTCAACATTGTTTTCTATCCCCAGTCAGTCCTGACTGGCTTTGAGTTTGCCAAAGTTGGAATTTAACAACACTATGTTTGGTGTCAGTTTTACCCGAGATGCTACTTGTAATCCAAAACAGTGACCACATGGGTATGTTTTAGACTGATTAGTTGATGCTCAGCTAATTTGTTTTATCCAATCTGATTCTGTTTCCTTGTATGAAAATGTTCAATCAGTCTTGAGAAGGTTTAAGGGCTGCAACAGAGAAAACAAGCCAGAATTCAGAATCCCTTGCACAGAATGTATCCTTTGAACTGAAATTCCATTTCCTACCTGAAGACAGATGTAAGAATGTGACCATCTGGTCTTTTAAAATGTGTAAGGGGAAAAAGTGCATCTCAATATGTGTTGCTACAGCTGTATCTGAAGAAAGGGTTTTGCTGTATTTTTCCCTAGATTGGTGAAACTAACAGAAGAGAATCTGAAGTGAAGAGGAACCTCGGTGAGCTTTCGGAAGACAATGACGTGTTTGGTATGTAACAGAGCCAACAGCATGCTTTCACACAGCAGTTGTGTGCACCGCATTCTCATGGGGAGCTTTGAGTCTTTCAGATGAGTGGGTGACCCATGGATCTGTCCTCTTTATGAAGAGATGGTAGAGGTGGAGGATAGGTCTCCTTCCTCGTCCTCTCGCAGTCCCTTGCTCCCCCACACCCCCATTTTGTTTCCAATTTTATTTTTCTTTTGTTTGCCCTCTTGTGATGAAAATCCCCAAAGCTTCCCAGTTTCTCCTTCCTGCTGGTCTTTCATCCTCTACTTATCCGTTTGTGAGCAGACACCAGAAAACCTAAGAGTGCCATAAAAATAACTGATGAGGAAGTGAAGTTGTCAAAGCCTGGATACTACATGTTTACCCTAACTGCAGATCGTGACTCAGAGGAGTGGGGAAGTCACTGTGGTCTGTACAATTTACACTTCCCTAGCCCCTCAGTGAGTATAAAGTACCATTACATATCTATAGTCGTCTCTGTCCTACTTCCCCCAAGAGTGAGTAAGAGTGTTCTTATCTGACTGTTGTGTAAAAGCAATTAAATCCACTTTTCCATCATGACATTGGATCCAATCATAGGGCACATAGGACCAGCAGCAGATCTGTTGTGTGTGTATCACTCTTCTCTTCCCCAGTTATTCCTAAAGTGAACATAACCAAAGGGTGGTATCACACGTCCTCAGATTGTGAGGCCACTGTCTACCCAAGGAAAAGGGGAGAGTTTCTGCCACTGAAGGGAGTGTCTGTCTGTCCTGGAGCACCCAGCCTGTAGGGTTCAAACGGTCAAGGCCCACACCTTTCTTGCCATATTTCCAGTCTGACCTGTACTTATTTATGTAGAAGTCTTTTTTTACACCTCATTCATTAGGCAAGACAGTCTACCCCAAGGTTTTTTGTTTGTTTATTTGTACTGTTCCTAATTAATTTACTCTTCTTCTGAGTCTCATCTTTTCTGTACTTCTGTCCTCTTTATGCAAACACACATAATGACAAATTTATTACTGTCCACTTTTCAATATCTTCAACTGTGAAAAAAGCATAACCCAAAAGCCCAGAGATTGAAAACAGTAAAGATTCATTTAATGGCTATGACACAGGTGAGTGTCATAAACAGGAGCAGTGCTCTGATTTCCGGTGGTTTATGTCCTTTTTTGTAGGAATTTTCTTCAGACTTTCCGGAGCATAGTCTACTGGCTTTGTGAACTGGGTTTTTCATTACTAGTAGTGTTGGAAATAAGCCTCCAGATCACTTTGTTGGTGCAGATAATGAAGCACTCAGACACCAAGAAATCTCAGTGAGGCTTTTTTTTCTTGTGCAGAAAGGCACAAGCATGAGGTAGCAGGCACACAGGACAAAGGAGGGCTGACCCTTTTATCCCTAATACAGGAGAAGACCTGTCCTTTAAATTCATTGGCTGAATTCAAAGCCTTACAGTCTATCATGGCTGACTTACTCCAGGGATGAGGAAAGGGGGTGTTGCTGATATGTTAGAGAAGTCCTTGGTTCTTACCTGAAAATTAGTAATGTCCTGGGTAAAGTACGTAGTCACATAGAGGGGTGGGAGTAAATATATGGCCAGGTCATTTAAGTCCGGAATGGAGTTGCTTTGGCCTTGTGCTTTGATAGAAAAGACAAAGCCTGTTTCACAGTGGCAGAGGAAGTGGGAGAAGACAGTTGTATGGTGCCCAGGAGCCACAGCAAGTGACTGAGGATCCATGGAGGAGCACAGTGTGTGTTGAAATAAAATTCTTACAGTGCAGAGAGTCAATCCACAGGTAAAGCTGTAGAATGATAGAGTCTCCTTAGACGGTCTCTTTAGTCAGATGTTCCAACTGCTGTACAACATAGACCTAATAGAGAGACTTACAGAAAGATATAATGTCCAGCTTTACATTTTATTTTTTAAGCAGACATTGTCTTTATTAGTTTCTTTTAGGATTACTTTTAACAGTGATGACAGTTTTGTTGCCATCTTACACACACACACACACACACACACAGGACACATGTGTAACACATGCAGCGTAAAAGTGCATACTGGTAGCGTAAAAGTTCTCTGGAACCTCTTCCTTGCATCCTGGAGATGTTAAAATTCCTGAAGCTCTTTCACAGGTGGCCCTCCTTAACCTTTCCAAGTAACTATTCAACTTGGAGCACTGCCATCTAGGGTGCAAAGTTCCTGTCTCTTCACAAGCTTGGATTTCTGTCTCTTCACGAGCGTTTGTGGAGTGAGCGATGAGCTGCAGCTCTTGAGTTTCGTTTCCGCACATAGACTGTGCCCCTCCATGGGTTCTAAATCACTTGCTGTGGCTCCTCTTCACAAGCTTGGGTGCCCTCTCAGGGAGAGCAACAGCACAAGCCAGCCCCTGCTGTTACTCATTGCCTGCTGTTAGGGCCCAGATGGTGGAGAGATGCATTTGTCTGTGGAATGAGAGATGCGCTGCATCTCTTGTGTGATCTGAGCCACCTTCATGGTGTGCACAGCTGCCACCTGCTGCCGGGTGAGCCCAAGCGCAGGCATGGGTGTGCGAGGAGTGCATAGCCCACCCTTGTCCAGAGCTCTCTGACCTGGGCCCCAGGAGGCCTCAGAGGCCTCAGGCCTGTGGTTATCTGTTCGCCAATCCCAAGTAATATGGACCTGGGAGGCTGATGAGCTGCTGGGCTTCTGCCCTAAAACCCGATAATCTCCTCTTCCTACTCCTTTCCCTGTAACCGGCAGAAACTCCAGTCCAAGTATGCAGGATGGCAAGGAAAACAAAGCCCAGCTGAGCTTGGCTATTAGTCTTGACAATACAACCTTAGAAGGTACAGGTGAGGATTGTTTTTAAACTGTAATGTTCAGTGCATGGTGGCTACAGATGAGAACAGCTGGTCCCTCCACTTCACAGACAGCCCTGCTGTGTCTGGGTGGTAAATCCCTACTCAGGACACACAGCACGCCTTCCCGACATTCTGTAACTGCGTGAATCAGCAGCAGCCGTGTTCTGGTCATCTTTAAGATCATGGTGATGATTTCGTCCCAGCATCAGAAGAATGGCCCAAAGGTGTGGAAAATGTGGAGAAAGGCATCATCCCTTAACCAGCAAATTACTGCAGGACATACACACCCCAGATCTCTTTGAATGTCAGAAAACTCCTGTGTTTTAGCTGCTGAGAGTTCCCGGGTGAGGGATGGATTAGAAAGTCAAAGAGAAGTCTGCCGCCAGGAACAGATTCAGCACGTCAATACTAAGTTGTGGCTCACGCCTGAATGCTCAGAGCTACAATAGGACCATCAAAATCCAGCGTACTTCTTCCATGTCCTTGGGAAGCCAGATTTAGCGGTGCACAGACAGACTTAGGGAATTCATTTTTCCTGGTAAAAATCCCACTGACAGATTACATTAGGTCTAAGCAAATAACTCTGTGGAGCACAGTGTGAAATCTCTGTACTTTACCTCTAGAAGTGCTGTGGTCACACTTGACAACTGTTTGCCAGGTTACAAGGGAGGGAGAAAAAAATATCAAGGCCCAGCAACCTGGAGACCCACATCTGGTCCAAACTCTGGGGAGCCAGGTCATTTGTGGCAGGCCACGTGTGCACTGCATTACACATGTCATCCTCATCATCTGAAGACCTGCAAGAAGGAAGGGGCAGTGTCCTACCTGGCTTCTCCGAGGTCTCTAATCATGGGGCTACAGCAAGGGCAGTTAACCATAGAAGTGCAAGGAGTCTCATTTCTCTCCAGTGTGCACTCACAATGCAGCAGAGCCACCAACAGAGGGCACCACTGCTCTGTGGGAATGCCTGGTTCCTTGCAGATAGGTCAGGTGTTGCAAAAGCCAGAGCTGGAAGGCTGGGTGCTCTTCCAGTTGCAATAAGCCTCTTCAGCTGGACAGGTGTCATAGGCAAGGACAGCTTAATCAGGAAGTAATGCCTTCCTGCTGCTGTCTCTAGCACTTCACATGGCAAAGGCATTTGCTCCAAAGGACAAAATCCCCATAAAAGTCGTTGGAGGACACTCACTTGGCTCGTTCTCAGAGATTAGAGAAGAACTAAATGTGTTTACTGTGGAGCAAAAACAGCATTCTTTCTAGAAGCATTTCATGACGTGTGTGTCTGCATGTCACAGTTCAAGTGAGCTTCCAATATAAAGACGCACTGGAAACGCTAAGATGTAAGTGAGATTGTGAAGCCTAGATCAAGTACAGAAAGACCAGGAGTATGCCAGCTGCTATAGAGGGACTTCGCTGTGAACTGTGAGCTGCTGGCTGCCTGTGTGAAAAGAGGGAGGTCTCTTTTTGTCTGGCATGTGGTACAGCTCCACCACTTGAGTGCCATATGATTGCTGGCCATTCTCTCATCTTCCCGTATCTTGGCTTCCACATACAAGTAGGGGTCACCATGTGTGTATGGAGAGAACATGCCGTCCTCCCCGCCACAGCATATCGTGGACATCAGCTGTGATTAAAGTTTGCAGATGTTGCAAAGGATGTAAAGTTTCACTTCACAAATTCTAAGGTTCAGTTCCTGTTTAGATTTTTGCCAGAGATAATGAGTCACATAACAGCCAGTAACCTCAAGGTATTTTGTAGCAAATGCTGTGATTCCTTTCTTGTAGCTGTTTATTGCGAGAAACAGCACAATCTCCAGCAGTGAAAGTTGAGATAATATGACCACGGACAGAAGTGGAAGAAACTAAGGTCCTTTCCTGAAGAGAACTCTGAGAGGTGCCTGGTGGCACAGAGACCCAGGTCCTCACTGTGCAAGGGGCCCAGGAGGCCGGCATTTGGTATTCCTGGCTATTGTGGCCTGTCTCATCCCACTGGGGGAGCAGCTGGTACCAGGAAAAGGATAAGAGAATCTGTGTGGCAACTGAGGGCTTGTAGTGTTGGCTCAGCCCTCAGCTCACCTGTAATTGGGCGTGTGACTGTCTCTCTGTGCCTCTGTTTTTTCCTCCATTAAGAAAGGTGTCTCTGTATCCAGGCGTCATTGCCAAGG